CATTTAACAAAAGCTTACTTAAATTTTTATTAGCTTTTTCTAACGCCTTGAATGTGTTTATTTTTTTCGGAAAATTTTAAAACATAACTTTGCTAAAAGAATTAAGCAATTTACAAAGTTTTGTGATTTAAATCCTGTAATGCACAGCAGGTAATGAGTAGCCAAGAATTGCAAAATCATACACGAAATAAAGAAGGGGAAATATTTTGCAAGCGCTTAGTAAAGTGAACTAAAATAAATTATAAAAATTTACAAATGTATGTACAATTACAGTTAAGTTTTTTATAATCAGCACTAAGAGCACTACCAAAAAAAAAAAAAAACAAACCAACAAGTAGCACCTATTTAATTCTGCATATTTGCAAATCGATTTAAAATTTATGAACATAAACTTGTTACAAGTAGTATGTACTTTCTTTTGTTACAGCTTTCGCAATGTGCGATTTCGCACGCGACTAAGTGGGTTAGTATGCTTGCAGCAGGTTCGAAAATTGCCACCTACTTCTATTGCACATCATTTAGTGCGCCATCAACATTGCACCATTCAACCAAATTTATTGCTGGAAAATGATGTTTGGCAGATTTGAAGATCTACATTTTTAGTAAATTTTGCTTGTGCTGTTTTAACGCTTTGTAGACAAAAGGTAACAACTCTTAATTTATTGTCATCCGCCCCTTAAATTAAACAAAAAAAAAAAAACAATAAATATTGAAAGAAAATCAAAAATAAACTGATGAGCAGTTTAAAGAAATTCACAACCGGAGTCTGCATACATATGCAAAGATGTAAACATTATGAGCTCATTGTATTTTCCAGCTGACACGACCGGGTTTCGGGTTTGAGCATCAATCGCTGCTTGCTGTAAGCTGCACGATCACTTGCCAGTTGCCACCACCGACGACACTGCTGAGAGTATTGCGTTAACAAGCTCAACTTTTGACTACTACATAGTTGTTGTTCCTGGCTTTGGTTTTTTTTGATCGGTGTCGAATGCTTCAACAATGCTCGTCTGCAATTAAATTCGTATAAAATTTATTGGATTTCCCATTAACAAAAAAATAAACAAAAAAATGCGAATTGGCAAATTCTAATGCGCTGCTTGAGCGATCGCGTCTATCAGTGAACGAATAGCCGCCTTTCCTTCACCCGCGCGCATGTGTGTGTGAGTGTTAGTCAGGCTGTTGCGGATGCTGCAATTTAGTCGCTGAATTATGACGAAGAAGAGCATAGCAATGAGGTGTGCTTGAAGAGAATCAACTTGTGTGTGCCAAACTCAAATTTCATGCAGATTAGAATGTAGGCACTGCGATACTGATTGACAGCAAATTTATTAGCTCAAATGAAAGAGTAAGTGCATCGAGAAGTTGCGATGGCGAAATGGTTTTAGTCAAAGCGATTCTTTGAAAATTTTCATTAGATAGGAAAATTATTATTTTTTAAATGCAGTGATATTTTTAGCATAGCAGTAGATGAGATGAAATCGAGCAGTTAACCGCATATTGAGAAAATGTATTAACCATAATAATATATTGGCGCTTAGACTTTTTCTAAGTGTTTGGCCAATTTCCTCCTCCTTTTTTAATGAGGGTGGAGAGCCCCGCTTCCCAACAGCAAATGGTTTTTATGAGAAGCTGCTAGAAACAAATTTTCAAATTTAGTTTTTATCTGGACCAGTGATAGAAACCAGGTTGTACGGAGTGATAGTAAGATGGAATAAGTTCAGTAGAAAGGGGCAGGATAATAAGATTACAAATATAACAAAGGCTATCTTCAGTTGAAATAGCTTGGAAGCAGATTATTTCTTATACATAAAGAGTTAAAGTTGCGTTCCTTGCCCGCGTACAAACCGCTTTGGTGGCCTTGTGAGCGCTACTAATGCTCTTATTTCCACCTGTGAGGTCTCTGCAAAGCTTCTTAAAAATGCTTTACAAAGCTCTTCTTGGGTTTGGCAGAAATCTTGATCCAGCTCAGCGGGCTGATGATTAAGTGTTTCTAATATCGAGAAGTTCAGGGAATTTTGGCGGTCACGCAGGTGTTGCTAATAAGACGTCCATAAGATGGAATCGTTTTCAAAATAATTTTTTAGAAGAAACATGGGTGTGTTTTGTTCTGAGCCTGGCGTAGAGCTGACTGTATTGAGGGTCAATGACATGCCCTTCTTCTCAGACCGTGCTTATACAGGATTTACTATTTCTGCTAGAAAATCCCCGAGTGATAATTACTTTAGGAACCCCAGACTCACAAACTGTGTCCTTTTTCAGAAGCTGGTTGAGGACAGGCTGAGTGCGCCAAGGTCGATTAGGAACATGGAGAACCTGGAGGGGGTGATCGATCGTCTGAATTATATATATTAAATGCAGTTTTTTAAACAGACCTGTCCCCTAAGGAGGGCCAAGAGAAGGGAAAATCCGCCATGGTAGAGCCTTGAATATGGTACTCTTAGGAAACAGGTGAGGGTAACGTTTAGCCTGGCTAAGAGTGTGGACTCTAACGTGTGCTAGCGCAAGTACAGGAATCTCCTTAATATCGACAAAAAAGCCATACGTATTGAGAAAATAAACTCATGGCGGAATTTATGAAGTGGAATCGGCGGAGCTCGCTGAGATAGCAAGGCTTAGGAATGTTCTGTCCGAAGGTTGTGTAACCCATGGACTCATTAGAATAAACGATAGCTAGTGGACTCGAGGTGGCGTGTAATCGCTCGATATATTGGTAAAAACTCACTTCCCTGCGGTCGAGGATCTAGGTGGACTACATGGCGCTGCATCATCCACTGCCAGAGGAGGCAGCCTTGCATGAGAACTGTTGATAGCATCCCGGGTGGAGTGGTGCTTTATGCTCCTTTTCGCAGTTTGGGTTTGGACGGTATATTTCCTGCCATATTTCAGAAGGCAGTTTGGAAGACCAGAGTCTGGCTGTGTGAAATATTTGAAGGCTGCTTAAAGCTGACCTACATTCCAACATCATGGATGACTTCCAGGGTGGTCTTCTTACCAAAAGTAGGCAGAAGTGGCCACGCATACCTTAACGACTACACGCTCATTAGCCTAACTTCGTCTCTTCAAAAGACTCTGGAGAGGTTAATAATGTATACATCCAACAAAACGTAGCGGGGGCACATACATATATACTATCAAAGGCACAACACGCGTACACTAAGGGAAAATCGGTAGATACCGCCCTACATAATGTTGCTAGGTGCAGTGGCGCTTCGGCGAGGTGGGGTAGGCATGAGGCCACCAAACCGGTTTACAGAGGTACACCGTAAGGGAGCGTATTATCGCCACTACTTTGGTCGCTGGTAGACAACAGGATACCTGCCGAATTTAGGGCATATGTGGATTATGTTTCTGTCAAAGTAAGCGGTAAGTATCTGTCCACACACTCAGCTCACTTATGAGCCAAGCACTAAGAATACGGATCTGGTACTCTTCATCAGGTGGCTTATTTTACCATCACCCCTTCGGCTGGCTCACAGACCTAAGTGCAGTAGACGTTCATAAATAAGTTCTCGCGTTTTATTCACTTAAACAACTGGTTCTACTTTTAGGTTCTCAAACTGTACCACGATGGGCCCACTGAGCATGAGTATGCCTCTCTCCAATATTGGACGCAGGCAGCCACTTAAAACTAACTTAATCTAGAATAGGCGTGTTGGCAATCAAACAGCTGCTAGGGATTTATCTTTTACAGAACATTTATTTGACAGACTTTGCCTCCGTTCGCAGTGAAAATTACCTTCTTATTGGGGTAATTTATGATGAAGAGTAGGTTAATAAAAATATTTTATTTTTGATTGGAAACTTATTACACAGATATTAAGGCAGGTCTTATAAACTACAGGTCGGTATGGACGAAATATGCCAGATAAATTTAACTTGTGGCATTTTCCAGCTAAAAGGCTTCTATCTCCAGACAGGGTCCTGAAAAAGGGACCAAGGTACTCAGTTGCTCAAAACAATATCCTGGGAAAATTCCGACCAATGAGTAAGGCGAAAAAGCGGCTGTTGCTTTAGTTGAAAACCTACGGAACTACTTACCGTTCTAACAAAATATGTTTATCGGCACTTTTTTGCCGGAAATTACTTTCTATATCGAAGTCAATATTATGGCCATGCAATTAATGTTTCTGAATATCTGCCAACCAAATTCAACTCGATTATTTGTATTGCCATAAACGCCCCCCAGTTTGATTTTACAGTAGGTGCTAGTTGCCGTTACAATATCGTTTAATAGCAGTATTCGGCTTACCTACGAGTATGTATGTATGTATGTATATATATAATTACAAGCGTTGCACGTTGATGACGTTGGGAGCGATAACTGAGCCGCAAGTAGCAGCAGCTATTGCCGTAGGTTCTCATCAGCCTGAGCTCTATGTAACTAAGTATTATGTGCAACTGAGGCGGCTCACGAGTAAGATGTGTTTGATGTGCATAGTAGTTGGTTTTTTTCTTAAAGTTAACAACTAACTGGCCAACTTGCTCTTACCAACTATTGCTCATCTCATGCCGAGTTATGCTCATCGCAACCCTTTGTTGCTAAGTAACTGCTACGAATTGATGATGCTGCCGCTATGTACTCGTACTTCTACTACATACTGTTGCTTTTGTTGTGCTGTGCAAACAAAAATTTCAAACTCACTGCCATTGTTGTTCTTTGTACAATAATGGAGGCCGGTGTTAGAGCCAAAAAATTTGCAAAGACAGCACGCTGGGAGACAAGCGTGTTAGTGGTGATGTTGGCAACACTGTTTGTGGTGTTGTGCTGTTGTGCTGTTGTGCTGTGTTGTTGCGCCGGCGCATTGTGATTCTTCTTCTCGCATCGGCATGAATATATCTACATACATATGATTTTACATAGATGCATGTGAGTTTGTGTTTTAGATTGTGTTTTGTGTTTGCGAGTGCATTTGCAAATATTCAATTTGGCGCCAAACATTCAATACATGAAACAAGTATAAAAGGCGGAGAACTTTTGTTACAGGCAGCATATCATTGCGAACAATAGATCGGAGTCAAAGTGTGCGGCTCCAAACGAATTTTTTTTCACTAGCCTACAGAGGATATGTGGAAGTAGTAGTAGTGGCAGGAGTAGAACAGGATCATCGTACCGAAGGAATTTACATATACCTAAACAGTGTAATTTTGTGACAAATAAAGTGCGAACAAATACAAAAATACTAGTTCCAAGTGCAGTTGAAGTGCACTGTACAATTGGTGTGTTGAATTGCATGAATATTTGAAAGAAAAGGACTTTAAATAATAGTTTGTTTCGGTTTCTGTTATTTGCACAGTGTTCAACTGTCAATCTTTGTGTGAAAAGATTTGCCATTACCACAGGAGGATATCAATAAAAATAAGCCGAAAATGAGAGTGGTGAGTATGAAAGTTGGCATAAGATCAATTCAAGATAAATTCAAAAAGGTCGAGGAGACAAAAAGATTTAGCGCTGTTTGTTGCTGAATATAGATAGCATTAAACAATAAAGCAAATTTAAATACCAAATGTTTGACACTTACTAAGTCGCAGTGCGAAGAGGAGAACTGTCTCGAAATCACATCTACCTTGTTGAGTATGTCTTGCTTAGGATGCTTTAGATGTGAATTAATTGATTAATTTTGGAATTTCGAAAAATTGGTTGAATCCAATTCTATAACTTTTGTGAATCATCGAGTAATGTTGAGCTCTGAAGTAAAATATTACAATTATGATTTGAATAACATGAAAACTTTGGCTCCAACGTGTTTTTTTAAATATTTGGCTCAGCTTCACCTATCTATAGTTTGAGGTACGCGTTTTAAAAGCGTGTCAGATGTGGCAAGGCAATTTACAGTTGTCGAACAAATTATAGCCGCACCACATTTTGACAACTTTTAACACATTTTATTGTTGTTCTATATGTATATTTTTGGTTATTTTTCTGTCGAAATATAGCTAATTTAAAAAAAAAAAACGGTGTTAATCCAGCTCTAAAACTTTGTGCAATATTAAAAAAAAAATCAACAAACTCATAAAATTTTCGAGCTATTTTAATTAGATTTCTTAGAAAGATTCTGAGTATGCAGTTTTATACCCCATTGAGTTCTAGATAGTAACAAGTTTCATATTGTTAAAAATTACTGTTGACTTTTTAGAAATTTTTTATATAGAGGAAAATCGTTATTTTATATGGAAGAAAACCGTAACATAGTCAGCAAAAAAAAATCTAGAAAACTTGTACTTTATTATAGTAAAATTCAATTTGCTTTAAAACTGCACTCTGATTTCTTCTAGGAAATCTGATTAGAAAGCTCGAAATTTTTGCGAACGTTTTTGACATTTTTTCAATATTGTACAAAGTTTTAAACCTGGATTTCCACGGGTTTAGTTAAAAAATAAACTATGGTTTTACAAAAAATAACCGAAATTAAATAACAAAAAAAAAATAAAAATATTTGTTAAAACTTGTCAAAATTTGGCAGGGCTTTAATTTTTTCAACCACTGTATGTATTTCGAAATCAAATTGAAAAAATTTCAGAAAGCAGTTGTCTGACTAGTCACATAAAGATTGTTGAATATAATTGTTAAAGAGCCATAACTACCAAAAACAAATTCTAAGATATCCGTAAANTCTAGAAAACTTGTACTTTATTATAGTAAAATTCAATTTGATATAAAACTGCACTCTGATTTCTTCTAGGAAATCTGATTAAAAAGCTCGAAATTTTTACGAACGGTTTTTTGAATTTTTTCAATATTGAACAAAGTTTTAAACCTGGATTTCCACGGGTTTTGTTAAAGAACAAACTATAGTTTTACAAAAAATAACCGAAATTAAATAACAAAAAAAAATAAAAAATATGTGTTAAAACTTGTAAAAATTTGGTAGGGCTATAATTTTTTCAACCACTGTATGTATTTCGAAATCAAATTGAAAAAATTTCAGAAAGCAGTTGTCTGACTAGTCACATAAAGATTGTTGAATATAATTGTTAAAGAGCCATAACTACCAAAAACAAATTCTAAGATATCCGTAAAACTTTTTTGTTAAAATAAATAGCCTAATTTGTGACAAAATTGTTTTTCCTTGCAATTAGGGGATTATTGTGGATTCAGCGGCTAATCGGTACCGCCTATTTAAAAAAAAAAACCTTCAGTCATTTAAAATACCAATTCAAGCACAAACGAACTCTGTAAGGGGAAACCAATAAATATACACAAAATAAAACAATAAAATCAGTCAAATATTGTGTTTGAAAATATATTATAGTATGAATTGGATTTTGACCCCTTTCCATGAAAGGATTGCGTGCACTTTATGAAACGTACGTTTTATTTCAAGTCCTATATTCGCAAAAAACGCGAATATCATCTTGCATGTGCTTTTCTCAATATTCATCGGAATCTGGATGGTCTATACCTCGGTGAATTGCATGTGACTTTTCTAGCGCTGGATTATTATATTACAATTAAGCACAATATGCCGAATACTCTAAATACAATGGCTTTACATAAAAATCCCACCAATTACTACATAATTTTCTCGGGGGCTACCTGATGTCACTAGTTTATAAGAACAGCAAACCGGAAACTTTGGCCGCCTTCGAAGAATGAATTGTGCGATAAAAAAAAAAAACAAAAAGACTGACTCTATGAAAAGTTTTTAGGCTAAAGAGCAAAACAGACGAAAAACGAAGAAAATTCCATAGAGATTCCTGATTGATTTTGTCTGAAAATTCTTATTAATTTCAATAATAAGAGAATCTTTTAAAAGCCATGTAGAAAATTNTACATAAAAATCCCACCAATTACTACATAATCGGGGGCTACCTGATGTCACTAGTTTATAAAATCAGCAAACCGGAAACTTTGGCCGCCTTCGAAGAATGAATTGTGCGATAAAAAAAAACAAAAAGACTGACTCTAAGAAAAGTTTTTAGGCTAAAGAGCAAAACAAACGAAAAACGAAGAAAATTCCATAGAGATTCCTGATTGATTTTGTCTGAAAATTCTTATTAATTTCAATAATAAGAGAATCTTTTAAAAGCCATGTAGAAAATTGCTTGATTGCATCATTTACAAAAAAAAAAATACTTTTTTAATTTTATGAAATACATATCTTTTTGAATTCATTGAAAAGTAGGTACTTCCTCCTAATTTTAACTGATGTCTTCAAGAAATAAATATAATAAATAGAATATTTAGTGTGGGTAAAGGGACCACCGTAGCCGAATATGTATAGCTGTAAACTGCCATTCTGTAGGTCTCTAGATCGAGAATAGGTTCGCGAAGACTTCTTTTCATTCTTTTTTGGCTTTTAGTAGGCAACCATACACAAATAGAGCGAATTTCTTCTTGATTTAATTGAAAAGATAATCCTACAAAAAAGGTTTTTTTCTTGAAAAAAAACATAGAGGTATTTTTTACTGTTATTCTATTTGATTTGGTGTAATTCGCTCTATGTATTCAACAGCTTTTGCTGCCACCTTCAAAACGTCATCCGATGCTAGCGCCGAAGTTAGGATACTTTTTCTAAACAAAAATATCAGTTTTCGCTAAATTTGGCATTGGAATTTTTTTTTTTAATAACATTTCTCCTAATCTGTTATTTTTTGATATCTAGATAGGAGATTCATACATTAAGCTAAATATTTAACTTAGCATAAACATTTGTTAACAAAAATCACATATTTTTTTATAAAGTACCCCCGCCCCCCTCCAACCAGTTTTTTATTGGCAAACATTTAAAGTCAGTTGTGATTTGACTAACATTCTAGTGAATTCACTTACATCTTCGTTGAGCGATTTTATCTCGAATCGACCTATCAGTCCAGCATGTCATGCAATCAATCTGATATTTCCGACTCGCTAGGCAGATGAATCACATTACGCTAATACAAACACCCGCACATAATGCTGCAAACAAACAGGTTGCCAAAATGTTGCTGCAACATGCATCTAGCAACATCAACCATCAATGCTGTAACATTCGGAAGCCGCAACGCATATTAATAGAAAATTCTCAAGCATTCGCATAAATTACGACCAACAGCCGATTTAGTACCTCCCCCAGCTACTTCTGTACGTACATATGTATGTACATACATACGTAGACGTGAAGATGACGGCAGTGTAGTGAAGTTACCGTAATAGTCAAGTTTGATTTGCATAAATTAAAATTCTCGTGCGATTGGCAATGCGATTGCTGTTGGCGGCTTGTCGGTTAGCTGATTTAGCGGCTTAGCAGCATTTTATGTATATTGATGAACATTTTTTTTTGTATGCTATTTATTTGCTGCTTTTTTAGCTTTTCCTAAAGAATCTGCTAACGAATACACGCGAGCTGCATTTCCCAATCGAATTGTATGGAATTTCCTACTGACGAAATGCACGCGCTGCTTTGAGTTAGAAAAAGAAAAAAAAAATTGAATAAGTAGCTGAGCGGAGAAGCAACTAACTACTTCACTGATGGGTGGATGTCGTAAATTATGTTGGTAAATTAATTGGATGCTTTACGAGATTAATTTTAATTTGATCCGGCTATGATATGTCAATCAAAATAAAAATTGATTAAGTTGTAAAAGTAATGTAAAACGCAATTATTTACAATTCGATATTTTCATATTTCCTTTAAACGATTGGTGGGAGAGTCATCCCGCCACAAAAACTTTGTTATAATCTAAATCTATGCAGTTGACTGGCAACTAAACAAAAAAAAAGTTTATTGGCGAAAAATAAATTGGCCATAAAAACTAAATGCATTCCCCAACTAAAACAAAGCTCTTATTACGCCTGTGTCGAAGTGCAGCAAAAATTAGTCACGATTTGTGTGTTGCCACCGCTGGCTGCCCTAACGCTTACTTAAGCTCGCCGCTGCGCATTGCTGTCGATTTTGGTGTTGCAGATGCTATTCGAACAGCAATTGTTGCAGCTGTTTGCCAGCAATACGAAGTACCTCTATGAACATTTGTACTTCTGTGGCGATTCTCAGCGCTGCGAATTTTTGCTAGTGGAAATTTGATGCGCCGCTGGGCACAGGCGTTGCCCTGCTGCCCGTTGCTTTGTTGCCAACATGCAATCGATGTGCCAAATGTTGCCAGCCACATGCAAATATGCATGTAAGTACACGTAGCATACATATGTACATACATTAGTACAACATGTCAAGACTATTTTATTTAGTAGGCACTTTATGTGCATCTCCAAGTTGTCATACCACTTGTTTGTTGTTGCTGCTGCTGCTGGCAAATGTCAACTATTTAAATCGCATTATTTTTTATTTTTATTGTTATTGTTATTATTTTTATATTATTTTTCGATGCTCTCGCAGTTGCGCGCGATTGCGGGTTAGCCTATTTTCCACGAGTTCACTCGTGGTATGTACGAGTGTGTTGAC